AAGTTTCAAGAGTAGTCGTTTCTGTTTGAGTTATTAGAACTGTGGATTCTTCGGAGACAGTTGGTACATTAGTAACAGTGACAGCTGTTTGGGTAGTTTCCGTGATGTCATCTGAAGAGGAGGTTTGAGAAACAACTGACGGATATCTCTCTGTTGGAATGGTAGTCAGTCCAGGCATAGTACCATGCTGAGTAATAGTTGATGGAGTAGTAGTTTCCCCGGATGCAGTCACTAAGGTCGAAGCCTCTGAAGGTATTCTTTCAGTTTGATTCGTTTTTGAAGTTTCAAGAGTAGTCGGTTCTGTTTTAGTTATTAGAACTGTGGATTTCTCAGAGACAGTTGGTACAGTTGCTTGGGTAGTTGTCGTGATGTCTTCTGAAGAAGAGGTTTGAGAAACAAATGACGGATATCTCTCTGTTGGAAAGGTTGTCAGTCCAGGCATAGTACCATGATGAGTAATTGTTGATGGAGTAGTAGTTTCCCTGAATTCAGTCACTAAGGTGGAAACTTCTGATGGTATTCTTTCTGTTTGAGTAGTTTTTGAAGTTTCAAGAGTAGTTGGTTCTGTTTGAGTTATTAGAACTGTGGATTCTTCAGAGACAGTTGGGACAGTAATACTAGAGACAGCTGTTTGGGTGTTTATCGTGATGTCGTCTGAAGAAGAGGTTTGAGAAACAAATGACGGATATCTCTCTGTTGGAAAGGTTGTCAGTCCAGGCATAGTACCATGCTGAGTAATTGTTGATGGAGTAGTAGTTTCCCTGAATTCAGTCACTAAGGTGGAAACTTCTGATGGTATTCTTTCTGTTTGAGTAGTTTTTGAAGTTTCAAGAGTAGTCGGTTCTGATTTAGTTATTTGAACTGTGGAATCTTCAAAAACAGTTGGTACAGTAGTACCAGTGACAGCTGTTTGGGTAGTTGTCGTGATGTCATCTGAAGAGGAGGTTTGAGAAACAACTGACGGATATCTCTCTGTTGGAATGGTAGTCAGTCCAGGCATAGTACCATGCTGAGTAATTGTTGATGGAGTAGTAGTTTCCCTGGATGCAGTCACTGAGGTGGAAACCTCTGTAGGGATTCTTTCAGATTGAGTTGTTTTTGAAGTTTCAAGAGAAGTCGGTTCTGTTTTAGTTACTAGAACTGTGGATTCTTCAGAGACAGTTGGTACAGTTGTTTGGGTAGTTGTTGTGATGTCTTCTGAAGAGGAGGTTTGAGAAACAACTGACGGATATCTCTCTGTTGGAATGGTAGTCAGTCCAGGCATAGTACCATGCTGAGCTATTTTTGATGAAGTCGTTGTTTCCCTGGATGCAGTCACTAAGGTGGAAGCCTCTGAAGGTATTCTTTCCGTTTGAGTCGTTTCTGAAGTTTCAAAAGAAGTCGGTTCTGTTTGAGTTATTAGAACTGTGGATTCTTCAGAGACAGTTGGTACAGTAGTACTAGTGACAGCTGTTTGGGTAGTTGTCGTGATGTCATCTGAAGAGGAGGTTTGAGAAACGACTGATGGATATCTCTCTGCTGGAATGGTAGTCAGTCCAGGCATAGTACCATGCTGAGCTAAAGTTGATGAAGTCGTAGTTTCCCTGGATGCAGTCACTAAGGTGGAAAACTCTGAAGGTATCCGTTCAGTTTGAGTAGTTTTTGAAGTTTCAAGAGTAGTCGTTTCTGTTTGAGCTATTAGAACTGTGGATTCTTCAGAGACAGTTGGTACAGTAGTAACAGTGACAGCTGTTTGGGTAGTTTCCGTGATGTCATCTGAAGAGGAGGTTTGAGAAACAACTGACGGATACCTCTCTGTTGGAATGGTAGTCAGTCCAGGCATAGTACCATGCTGAGTAATTGTTGATGGAGTAGTAGTTTCCCCGGATGCAGTCACTAAGGTCGAAGCCTCTGAAGGTATTCTTTCAGTTTGATTCGCTTTTGAAGTTTCAAGAGTAGTCGGTTCTGTTTTAGTTATTAGAACTGTGGATTCTTCAGAGACAGTTGGTACAGTTGTTTGGGTAGTTGTCGTGATGTCAGGTGAAGAGGAGGTTTGAGAAACAAATGACGGATATCTCTCTGTTGGAAAGGTTGTCAGTCCAGGCATAGTACCATGCTGAGTAATTGTTGATGGAGTAGTAGTTTCCCTGAATTCAGTCACTAAGGTGGAAACTTCTGATGGTATTCTTTCTGTTTGAGTAGTTTTTGAAGTTTCAAGAGTAGTTGTTTCTGTTTGAGTTATTAGAACTGTGGATTCTTCAGAGACAGTTGGTACAGTTGTTTGGGTAGTTGTTGTGATGTCTTCTGAAGAGGAAGTTTGAGAAACAACTGACGGGTATCTCTCTGTTGGAATGGCAGTCAGTCCAGGCATAGTACCATGCTGAGTAATTGTTGATGGAGTCGTAGTTTCCCTGAATTCAGACACTAAGGTGGAAACTTCTGATGGTATTCTTTCTGTTTGAGTAGTTTTTGAAGTTTCAAGAGTAGTTGGTTCTGTTTGAGTTATTAGAACTGTGGATTCTTCGGAAACAGTTGGGACAGTAGTACTAGTGACAGTTATTTGGGTAGTTGTCCTGATGTGATTTGAAGAGGACGTTTGAGAAACAACTGACGGATATCTCTCTGTTGGAAAGGTTGTCAGTCCAGGCATAGTACCATGCTGAGTAATTGTTGATGGAGTAGTAGTTTCCCTGAATTCAGTCACTAAGGTGGAAACTTCTGATGGTATTCTTTCTGTTTGAGTAGTGTTTGATGTTTCAAGAGTAGTCGGTTCTGTTTTAGTTATTAGAACTGTGGATTCTTCAGAGACAGTTGGTACAGTTGTTTGGGTAGTTGTCGTGATGTCAGGTGAAGAGGAGGTTTGAGAAACAAATGACGGATATCTCTCTGTTGGAAAGGTTGTCAGTCCAGGCATAGTACCATGCTGAGTAATTGTTGATGGAGTAGTAGTTTCCCTGAATTCAGTCACTAAGGTGGAAACTTCTGATGGTATTCTTTCTGTTTGAGTAGTTTTTGAAGTTTCAAGAGTAGTCGGTTCTGTTTTAGTTATTAAAACTGTGGATTCTTCAGAGACAGTTGGTACAGTTGTTTGGGTAGTTGTCGTGATGTCTTCTGAAGACGATGTTTGAGAAACAACTGACGGGTAACTCTCTGTTGGAATGGTAGTCAGTCCAGGCATAATACCATGCTGAGTAATTGTTGATGGAGTCGTAGTTTCCCTAGATGCAGTCACTAAGGTGGAAACCTCTGAAGGTATTCTTTCAGTTTGAGTAGTTTCATGCTGTGGAGTTTTTTGGGGTATTTTTTCTGTGGGAAGCGGTGATTCTTCTGTGACACTAGGATCAGTAGATCCAGCGGAAGTTCTTTGGTTTGTTGTGGGAAAAGAAGTAAGCTGTTCTCTCGATGGAGAAGTGGTTTCCATTATCTGAGGACCAGACGTTGTTTGAGTAACAGAGGATAGAGTTCTTTCAGTTAAAATGGTAGTCAGTCTTTCTGTAGTTCTGTTTTTAGAGATTGATACCATTGTGGAGCCCTCTAAAGTGGTTGATTCAGTATTTGCTTCTGAGGTAGTGTGTTGCTCTGTTTTACCCTGTTGCACCATTTCTTTTGGACTCAACGAATCCATAATGCCTAACTGTTTCGTGGTTTTGAATGACTCTGTTGTGCTATCGTATGAGCTAGTAGTCTCACTGTCAGCTTCTATGTCAGTATAACGAGTACGCATTTCTGTTTGGTTTGCCAAAATCATCACTGTATACTTAATGCTTGTTGGGTCTGTTGTCGTCTCGTTTGATTCCGATTCGGTACGGTGATGTAAACAGTTTAAAGTCGTAGTTTCTGTTGAATTTGTAGAGCAAATGCATGTCGTAATTTTGTGAGCTTTTGTTATGCACTTAACTGCACCCACGCAAGTAGTTTGACAGGGATCGATACATTGACCAGACGCTCCGCATTGATGTGCATCACTGCAATCTTCGTTTGTGGAACAGTTGCCACCTGGCTTAGCTGCTTGTTTTTGACATTTTTTTAAATTTTGGGATTGGAGTATTTTTGTACATATTTCAAATAAAAGTATAAAATTTAAAAAATACAATGCGTTAAAATATTTACATATTAATTCGATATAAATAGGTAAGTGTATAGCTACAACAAAGGAGGAATGTGCACTATATATACAGGGGTACCTGGGGACTACTAAATGTTTGAAGATTTGAACTAAATATTTTGTGTACAGTCGAAGCTGTGGAAAAAGATTTCAGTACATAATTTTAGTACAAATTATTTTACGGTTAGGTGTATTCAAATTAGAAACGTTTCTTTTTTTACTATTAGTTAGCTACATATTGAATATATATTTTTGTTTTATACCATTAGTATTACATCTATTTACCGTTTATTTAGAGTCATGGGTTAAGATATTTATAGTTTTCAAGAGGCATTTTGATTAATTGATTTGATTAATATCATTGTGAGCATGAGCGTGTGTGAATGTTCAGAAGAGTTTATTTGTATTTCTATCTGTTATTGTTGATTGGTCCCCTTGTTGGGAGGGGGTATGATCACAAATGATCATAATAATTTTGATAACAGTTTTTCTTATTTGTTATTGCGCTTTGGTTTGAAGCTATACGGGCATTAAGAGTATTCCTGATTCGATAATTGGGTTCGTGGTTTAGCTTTCGAAATTCATATTCAGATATTGATTTAAACCTAATATAGTCAGGCGAAAGCTTAATACGATAACAGATTGTTAATTCCTCACTTTTATATACATTTACACAATATATGGGGAAATAAATTGACAAGGCACGAGTATTTTTGAGTATTGGCTTCGGTCAATATATTTCGCCAGGTAATAGTTTGTGTGTGTGTTTGTTGTTGAGGGGACAGACAATAAGACAGATCTAGCAAAAGGTGAGAGCGTGTGAGAGGCAGGAAACAGAGATAAACGATAAACGAGACAGAGACATAAGGTACTTTCACTTGACAGAGTTGTGAGAGAGAGTACGTTTGTGCTTTACCTTTTTGACATCCGTATTTGGCATCGGCTATAAATCCAGTTGGGCAGAATTTACATATCGGCTTATGATCCTCGACAATGCATGGCGAGTTGGATGCGCACGTGGCAAACTTGCACGGATCGACGCACTGATAATTACGACAGGCCAAGCCCGCCGGACAACCAGCATCACGCAAACATATTGATATCGATGGCTGGCAATCGCGCATGCAAATACATACAGGCTTATGATCTTGTACCTCACAGGATTTATTTTCGGCACAAATAGGGGCACGGCCCAGTGGCACTATACACGGGTTTCGACACTTGCCATCCGTGCAGGCCATATTCGAGGCACAGTCATCATCGCGATAGCATTCGCGCTTATCCGGTGCACAGGTCAATTCACCATACTCATTGACAATAAAGCCTGATTTGCATATGCAAACGGGCTGGTGGCGACGTGTCTCACATTTTTTATTACTTTCACAAATAAATAGGGGATTGTTGCAAGGATCTGTGCATTGGCCGAATTGACCGCACTGTAAGGTCTCTGGACACTCGGCATCACTGGCGCATGGTATTTGCTCCTTTGTCTTGGGGTCTGTGTCTTCTGGCACACATTTCGGATCCGGCTTGCACTCGACCTCGGGTCGACCTATGTGACAGCTGGGACAGGAGCACCGCGGACGATGCAGCACTGTCTGACATAGCGCATTTATGCCACACGCGCCACGCATTGTACAAGGATCGGTGCAGTGTCCTTGCAGGCATGATTTCTCACTGGGACAATCCGTATCTGAGTAGCATTGATCGGTGTCTAAAACGTAACGTTACAGCAGCAGCGAAGAACGAGAGAGAGAGAGAGAGATAGACAGGTTGTTGGTTGTTTATACTATGTTAATCGTTGGGATCACTCAACTATTCGGTGGCATATACGGTAGAGGTACCCTACAAAATGTACTGGTTGTTTGTTGTTTTTTTTTTGCTTTGTTTAAATTACGAAACATTGAAACTCATTTAAGTGAGAGTGCAAAATCGAAATCATTTAGATTTAGTTGTTCGAATTAGACAGACAAGCGAGTGTGTTTCGGTTGAAGCGTGGGGGAGGGGCACGTGGTGTAAACAGACAAAATGGTATGCAAACGTAGGGTCAGATAAGAAACTTAATGCTAAAATTTTCTAAAAACGAAAATAGAAAAACTTAAACAAGACAATATATTAAAAGTATAATTCAGTGTTGGTTGTTTCGATTGATTTTTTTCGGTTTGGTTCGGTTTGATTTGGTTTTGTTTTGAGTACTAGTGTTTGTGGTGGGGGTTTGGGGGTGTGTGTTCAGAAATATGTCAGTGGGATTGCTGGTGTTTTGAGTTTGGATTTGGGTATTGTGCACAGGATTTGTAAAAGTAATAGAACATATTTTGGGGAACTTTAACGAATAGTTATCAGAAAAATACTTAAGAAATTGTAAAAGAAATAAGAAAAATTTTTTTAGATAAATTATATTCAGTTGAGTGCAGTTATTGATCTTAAAGGTAGGGAGCAAAAGTTTTTAGTAGACACTGTTTAAGATTTGTTGTCAACGTCAACATCAAATTGCAGAACTGTGAAGGGAACATCTCACATTATTTCAGGTTGCTTCTATATAAGCTTGAAGCTTAATTTATCATATATGTATATATAATTGTATAATAGGTAGCTGTATTTGATTGGTATGGTGATTAATTGCTTTTGTTGGTTGGTATGAATTTGGTAAGTCTTCGCGCAGCGGGCAAACGAGCGAGCGAGCAGCCTTATAGATAATAATAAGATCGAGTGAGCAATAGTTACAATCCTTGATGAATAACCAATTATTATATAACGAGTGTGTGTATACTGGTGTAGAGATAGAGAGACTTGCGCTTGATTTGCCCAATTAATTGCATTTTTATATATGGACATGTTTCTTGTTTTTTTTTTTTTAGCAATGATCTCTTTGGTCTAAAGCGAAGATTTTCATATATTTCTTGAGTTATGGTAAAAATTACACGACATCCAACACATGCGCTCTGCCCTCACGAGAGACACGTTATTGGTGATTGATTGGGTGAGTGAATAAGGCATGATTAAGGTAAGATAGAGAGATATAGAATAAGAAGAAATTAGCGAGATAGGTAGAAAAACTGAACGCAGGCATACGAATGATATATCAAACTGCAAGGTCTAGAAGGTACAACTTTTGACTAAAGCGATATTAGCGGAAAGTAGTAGAAAATCGATAAGTACAATTTGGAAAAGTACGTTAAGGTAGTTAGGTAGATTTACTGGATTTATTTTTTTTATGATATGTTATTCATAATTCACAATTGATAAATTTGGTATTTAAATATTTACAGGTTGGTTTTATATATTTTCTTTTGGGTTAGTTGGGCGGCCGCAAAGACACGGCACATTTGTATACGCATATATGTACATTTGTGATTAATCACATATACAAATTTCTGTATATACAACTTAAAGACTAGTCAAATTTACCAAAATATATTTGCAGTGTTAGTTAAATTTAGTTACAGTTTTTTGTTGTTGTTTTTTAAAGATTTGCATCTGTTCGGAAGCGATTTTCAACCAATAGACGAGCTAAAGTGTGCTATGTAGGCGGTAGAAGCTATCAGAGCATAGGATCTTAAAATTTACGAGTAATTTAGGAGTTTTGTACAAAAATGAACGGCCTTATCTTCGGTTAACGCAATTATTGTAAGACTTGCTTTGAGAAATGAATTGAAAAGTAGTAGTTGTAATTTATCTATACATACGATTTTATGAGACTTATATTCAGTACTATGGTACACTTGAACTGACAATAAAAAAAAAATTGATTTTAAGCATATGTGAACCATGTGTGAGAATTGTCCCGTCCACAGTTCCCAATCTGAGACTTTGTTCATTCGAGAAATGTAATAAAAGATTTGTAAAATTTCTTATATTTGATTGTTGTTTTAGCGAAGGAAACGACAGAGTGGCGCAGGGGGGCAGAATAGTGGATAACAACGTTGGTTTATTTCATAGGGTACATTTTGGGGTCGGTCGGATAAAGCATAGGAGTCACAGGATGGGATTAACGGGAGCAAGGATATCGATGATAATATTTTGTTTACCGTGGGTAGCTAGGATGTGTTTAGGATTTGTTGTTCTTTAAATTATTTTTTTATAATAAGCGTTGCATTTAGTGTTGTTGTTTGTTGTTTACTTTCTGCACTTTTAGTGCCCGGTTTCAGCTGTGATTAATGGCTACATATCGCTATCGCGGCATTCGATATTAACACTATACGATATTTATTAAAGATGAACCAACTTGTCTACTGATCTGTGCGTTAAACGGTTTCATAAACTTAAGGTGATGTATGCCGCAGAGCTGAGTGTGTTGCCACATGCAACACTCAAAAAAAAGGGTTATTTGAAGCCAATTATACGAAATTATGTGTCTAAGGAGTTGAGTAAATGCTGAATGAATGCTAAATGATAATCGCAAGCCTTAAAGCTTTATGAAATTGGGCTGTCAATTCTTCAACGATAACGAAAGTTGAAAAATGCACTAAATGTCGTTTTTAATGTTTTCCGTATAGTTAATCAAAATTTGCTTATATTATTAAAATAAAGTTTTGCTGCAGTTATTTTTGCGAAAAATGGGTTTTCATAAATGAATTCTAAGCACAGATTGGGTAACCGCGATAGCGACAGCAACATTCCACGATCTCCCATATGCGTTGATCTTAGCAGTGGTGGGTAGAATGTCATAAAATATATATGATTATCATATGGGAACCTTCCTTAAAAACTATGACTCACTTTTAAACTAGTGCTTTGAAATTATAACTATTTATTTTGTATTTTTAAAAAACTGTTTTAAATAATTGCATTTGAGTTGTGTAGCTGTGTTTTGTTTGTGTCTGTTGTACTAGCGTGTATGTGTGTGTGTGTCTATTGTGCGCGGGGATTTAATTAAAAAAATCTTTTACACTTGAAAACTTGGAACATGTGTATAGGTTGTTAAATATTTAATTAATAAATTCATTAATTTAATTTATCATTATTAAAACACACACTACACTGAAACTTTGAATTAATTTTGTTGTGGCAGCTGTAAAAGCTGTTAAATTAGTGAAATTAGCTGGTTTTAAAATTTTTTATAAACAACTCATAGCTAGATAATCAAACCAAATACATATTATAACAACAATATCGGTTTTTGTTACTGACTGAACTCCAGTTATATGTATGTCAATAATAACGGCAACAATAAACGATAATAACGCTAACTGATTACTCCAATAAAATATAGTATATTAACCAACGATAACTTTGTCGGAAACGCTGGCTAACATTATTAGAATTAGCTGTATGCTAGCTACTAAAGGTACTTCAAATGACATAGACTTGGGCCACTTACCCTGCTGACAGACATAATCATAGCCTTGGCGTACACAGTCGCCAATATCACAGCCTCGCGTGCGACAGTCCTCTTGCGGTGGGGTCAAATGGCCTGGAAGCGGAAGGGGATGTATATTTATATAACTTATCCGTATTGATCTCTATTAAGTCACTTACAGTGCACATAGGCATCGCCGTTGGGGAAGTCCTCGGGACAGTAACATTCTGCCTGATCGTTGCTCAGCACGCGGCAGGCGGCATTTAGACCGCAGGGTTGTTCATGGCATGCATTAACCAAAGTACCTTCGCATAGGCAACCCTTGTGGGCATCGCCCATGCAGCCATCCATGCAGGCACATTCGTAGCCTCCGGGTAGCTCAATGCACTTGGAATTCACGCCGCAGGGATTGTTGGAGCAGCCGCCATCTAGTGGCTGACATTCGCTGGCGGGATTGCCAAAGAAGTCCGGTGGGCATGAGCATTGGGCCTTGCGATTGACCACACGACATTGCGCATTGGTGCCACAGGCTCCAAACTCGAGGCATGGATTGCGACACTTGCCTTGATCGCAGCGTTTACTCGACTCGCAGTCGTTATCCTGTCGACACTCAAACTGTACACACTCCTTGCTTGGCTCGCCCTCATAGCCGTCTGGGCAGTAGCACAGCATACGATGCTCCGACACTGTGCACAGCGCATTGCGACCACAGGCCCTGTCATCGGCACAGGGATCAACGCACTTGCCATTTAGGCAGCTCTGGTCAGCAGCGCAGTCTCCATTCGATTTGCAGCCGGCAATGCAGGCACCGCGCTCGCACAGCTGTCCCAGCGGACACTGACGCTTGGCGCCGCACTTGTTGCGGCACTTGCCACGTGCGCACTGCTGTCCGCAGTCGCAGTCCTCAGTGCGGCTGCATTTTGCGGCGCAATAGGCGCCGCTTTCGTCACATTCGCAGCCTGGATGACAACGCTCGGGCGGCAGCTGGCAGCCGGTTAGGCCATCGCCAATGAATGCAGCTGGACACTGGCACTGGACGCCGTGATTAATGACAAGGCATTCAGCGCATTGCCCACACTGGCCGGGTGCTTGGCACGGATTTTGGCACTTCTTATTAACGCAAGCCTCTTCGCTGGCGCAGCTGAGATCGTTGCGGCATCCCGTTTGGCATACGCGATTCTCGCAGATCTGACCTTGAGCACAGGCGCTATCCGTGTTACACACGGTGCGACATGTGCCGCGCATACAGCGCTCATCTGAGAGGCAGTTCTGATCGTTGCGGCATTTTCCCTGGCAACTGCCCGCATAGCATAACTGATTTGAATCGCAGTCCTCGTTGCGACCACAGGCAGTGCGTGGTGCCTTGCATGCCACGTCGGCTTTGCCACTGAGTCCCTCGGGGCAGCTACATTGCTTTCGATGATCGATGGCCTGGCAAAGTGCATTGGTGCCGCAGGCAGTGGGCTCCGAGCAGGGATCTACGCATTGCTGGCCAATGCAGGCCAAATGATTGGGGCAGCCTTGATCGGAGCGGCAGCCCGTGACGCAGTTAAGTCCCAGACACAGCTCTCCATTGGCACACTCGTTATCATGGCGGCAGAGCGGCTTGCAGACACCCTGCTGGCACCGCTCGTTGGTCAAGCAGCCGGCATCGTCGGCACACAGTGGACGACAGACGGACTCAAAACAGGCCAGGCCATTGTTGCAGTCGCGGTTCTCATGGCACTCCAGAGGGGGCGTGCGCACACAACCCACCTGGGGTGTGGGGTTGGGCACCATATTGTCCAGACAACTGCAGCTGGCGCGATGATTTGACACCGAGCATACGGCGTTGGGTCCGCAAGGATTCTCAACGCAGGGATTGACGCACTTATCGTTGCGACAGGACTCGGAAGCGCTGCAATCGTCATCCACGTGACATCCATAGACGCACTTATTATGCAGGCACACATGGCCCAGGAAGCAGTCGTTGTCGACACGGCAGGTTACTAAGGAAAGATGATAATTGGAGGAGTCTACTTCGGCGGTTGGAAACTACTTACGCATGCAGTTGCCACGCAGGCACTTTTCATTGGAGGCGCACTCCAGATCATTGTGACAGCTGGGCAGGCACATGGAGTCACGGCAGGTGTAACCAGGCGCACAGTCACCATCGCAGGCCACCGGCACACGCACGCACTCCTTGGCTGCGTCGCCGGTAAAGCCCTCCGGGCAATGGCACTGTTTGACATGGCTGAGCATCAGGCATTCGGCATTCTGGCCACATGCCTGCGGTTGCTGACAGGGGTCGAAACATTGACCGCCCTGGCACACTTCCGATGGAGCACACTCAGTGTCAAGCAAGCAGGCAGCTGTTGGTAGATTCGATAGAATTAGCAAAGATACAATTGGATTTGGCTGCCTAGCTTTTGGTTGGCGTTACGGTCTTGCCTTGTACGTGTGGTGTTGTTGTCGCGTGTTTATGTTGTTGTTTAGTTTACAGTTAGTCTATGCTACGGGTAGCACTGTGATCAAAGCCAGTCCAAAGTTAGACCAGAGCTACGAGAACAGCTCTTGCAGTTGCTGCAGTATTGAGTCTTAAGGCGAAGGCTTAATATATTCAACGCCGGCTCAGGAAGAAGAGATTCTTCGCTTAGCTGGCTTTGTATGCATACCTCTTGACTGAAAACACAACCCACAATAAGTATTTGTGCTAGTTTGTAAGTGTGTAAGTAGTTAATTAAGTATGTGGCTAGTTGGTAGCTGGTAAATGTCTAGTAGTCGGTTTTAGCCACTCGGGTTTGTGCTCGGGTTGGTGTTTGGTGTTAGTACTTACGTTTACAGACGCTATCTGAGCAGTATGTGTTGGTGGGGCAATCGCTAGTGATTTGGCAGGGCATTGGCAATGGCTTGCAACCGGCCAGCCGGTCAGCGGGTTGGCCGTCGTAGCCATTGCGGCATGCACAGTGCGCCACATGACCTTTCGGAACACATTCCGCATTGGGGCCACACTGCAGCTGAGCGCACACATCCTGGCATTTGGGTACTCCGTTAGTCTTGGTGCATGCGGCATGCGGGGGACAATCGTCGTGGGTCACGCACTCGACGGAGCTGCGGCAACCCTCGTTGTAGGGATCGCCGACGAGACCAGGTGGACAGGTGCATTTGTAGGAGCCACGCGAATTGCGACAACGGGCGCCGGGACCGCACGGCGCGTCCTTACAAAAGTCAATGACATCACAACGGATGCGCGGATCGCCACTGAAGCCGGGCTGACAGTGGCACACCTGATGATGATTCTCGGTAGTGCAAAGTGCATTCTCGCCGCACGGCTGGCCAATCAAGCAGGCGATCTTGCACATGTGATTGTCGCAGCTTTTATCGTTGGAGCAGTCAGCATCGGTGCTGCACTCGATCTTGCGGCAGCCAGAGCGGGCATCCCCAAAGAATCCCTCCTTGCAGGTGCAGTCGGGCTCATGGGAGCGAGCAATGCACTCCGCGTTGCGTCCACAGGCAGACCGTCCTAGGCAGACAGATTCACATCGAGCACGTCCATAGGCATCGACAAGGCAAGTTTCATCCTCGCCGCAGTCGCTATTAACACTGCACTCCATCTCCTTGACGCAAATGTTGTTTTGGCAGAACTGGAACTGTGGACAGGTGGTGTTCGTCTTGCATGTGCTCTTGCAGACGCCCTGCAGACATAGCTGCTCCGAAATACAATCGCGATTACTGCTGCATAAAGGACTGCAGATTCCGTGCGCACAGATGCTGCCCTGTGGACACTGAGTATCCTGTTGGCAGTATTGAAGCTGCACACAGCCTTGCTTAGCATCTCCAGTGCTGCCCGATTCGCAGGCACATACTCCAATATGATTCTGCACCGAGCATCGCGCCAGCGCACCACAGGCATTCGGGAGCGAGCAGGGATCAATACACTTGGCATCTAGGCAGGCCTTATCAGCGCCACAGTCGCCATTGTCGGCGCACTCGATGTGCACGCATTCTACTTGCGGATCTCCACGCGAATTGGCGGGACAACTACAAATGGCATTGTGGGACTGGGCTAAGCAGTTTGCATTTAGCCCACAAGCGTTTTGGCGCTCACAAGGACTACGGCATCGGGAGTTCTGGCAGCTGGCCGTGGTCGGGCAGTCAGCATCGCTGAGGCATTCGCTGGGATCGCGACAGCCCGCCTGCAGAGGATCACCAATTAGTCCCTCGGGACACTTGCAGTTGTAGCTGCCGGGCAGATTGTCGCAGAAAGCTGTGCTATGACAAGGCTGTTGTAGGCACTCGTTAATATCCTCGCAAGCTCCATTGATAAGCTGATAGCCTTCGTTGCATTCACATAAGGCTTTGTGATCTGATACCTGGCAGCTGCCCTTACCGCAGCTGATTAGGTCACATGGTTTAATGCAGCGATTAGTCTCCGCATCACAGGCGCGATCACTCGCGCAATCCACGTGATCAATGCACTCTACTTTGAAACAACCGACGCCAGTGTCATTGGGATCGCCCAGATAGCCAGCAGGACAGGTGCACACTGACTCATGGGCTTCCGCCTGGCATTGCGCATTGGCTCCACATACCGTGTGCAAACAAGGATCCGTGCACTTGCCATGAATACAGGACAAGCTATTGGCGCAATCCTCAGGCTTGTTGCACTCTCTCGGCTTTGTGCAACCCTGTTGTGTGTATCCATCTCCAACGGTGCCCTCCGGGCAGACGCAACGATAAGAACCAGGCACATTTTCACATTTCGCGGTGGCATGGCATGGCTGCTCCGTGCACTCATCAATGTCCGAGCACCCGAAAGGTGTGCCAATAAATCCATTAGCGCACTTACACTTTCCAGTCAAACATAGTTCGGTAGGTGGACAATCCGCATCCGATTCACAGCCAGGCTGGCAGGTGCGATCGCTGTTGCAGATCTCGCCCGCCAGACAATTGTTGCTGGTGTAGCAGACCTTTCTGCAGACCTGTTGGTAGCATCGTTCTCCGACGGCGCAGGCGGAGGTCTTAGTGCAGGGCAGATTACACTGATTGCCAATGCACATATGACCGCTCGGACACTGGTTACTGGCCAGACAGGGAGAGGGCACCCGCACGCAACCCTGTTCGGGTGTTGGGTTACCCTCGAAGCCATCCGGGCAGGTGCATTGACTGCGATGCTCGGCAATGCTACAGAGCGCATTGGGTCCGCAGCTAGTGCTTGATTCACAAGGATCCATGCACTTGTTGCCAATGCACGACTGCTCCTGCTTGCACTCCTTGTTGCTGCGACAGCCGATGGCGCAGTGACCCTCCATGCAGGCCAAGCCCTTGGCGCACTGGCTGTGATCCAGGCAGGCGACAACGCATACATTTCCCAAGCAGCTCTCACCATCGGAGCAGTCCTGTGTGTTGCGGCATGCCACGCGGCACTGGCCATTGTAGCACAGCTCACCTCCACAATCGACGTCTGTCAGACACTTGGAGGCACTACGTGCGCAGCCGTTCTTGGCAGAGTCGGAGATTGGCTGGAATCGCAGCGGACAGCTGCAAACCGCCTTCCGATTGACCACCTTGCAGTCCGCATTGGCTCCACAGGCATTATCGCAGGGATTTAGGCAGCGTCCTCCAGCGCAGATGGTATTTACCGGGCAGTCAGCATCGCCATTGGGGCACTGTCCATCTGGACGGCAGCCACTAGTATTGGGTTGAGGCTCGCCCACAAATAGGGGCGGGCACTTGCAGCTGGCGCCGTCGGGCGTGACCTCACATATTGCCGTGGGATGGCAGCTGCCAGGTGCACAGCCATTTTGCTTAACGCAAGCCACCTCGGGCAGTGGGTTTCCACGGTAGCCGGGCGGGCACTGGCAGACGGCGCGGTGATCTTCGGCCAGGCAAATAGCATTTTCTCCACAGGATTCCTCATCGCACACATCGTAACAGGTGTGCGTCATGCGGTTACACATTTGATTAGTTGGACAATCATGGTTGTAGACGCAGGGCACGCTCTGGCAGCCGTTAAACGGATCGTACGGATCACCTGCGTAGGGGCCTGGTGGGCACTGGCACTGTGCCTGGTGATTGTTCGTGATGCAAACGGCACGTGGTCCACACTTGACGCTGTCACAAGCGGATCGGCAGCTCAGCGACTGCGTGGACTCGTCCTTAATGCACGCCTCCGATTCAGGACATTCAGCATTACTACGGCACTGATGCTTGCGCTCCAACTGGCAGCCATTGCGATCGTTGGGATTGCCTACAAATCCACTGAGGCAATCACAGCGTCCTTGATGATGGCGGGCAACGCAAATCGAGTTGGCCGGACAGGTGAAGGCATCACAGATGGCAACACACTTAAGCACACCTAGTACGTCAGGGCGGCAAGCGGAGCCATCCGGGCAGTTCTCATCACTGGTGCAGTCGGGTAGCGAAGGCTTCTCGCATGAGGAGACAACTGGATTCCATACGAAGCTATCCGCACAGTTGCAAATGGCGTGTCCGGCTGGATTGATCTTGCAAAGCTCGTTGGGACCACAGACAACGTTGGAGCACAAATTAATGCACTCGCGACTGCCTAGTGCGTCTGTTTGACAGCCAAAACCACGATTGCAATCCTTGTCAGTCTTGCATTTATTTTCAAGATCGGGAACTTTGCGTTCAGGCTGGCAACCTACTTGTAGATTGCTCGGATTTCCAAAGTATCCGTCGGCGCAGATACATGACGAACGATGATCATCAGCCACACATAGCGCATTGGGACCGCATTGTATCTTGGAGCAGGCATCCACGCACTTGCGCAAGCCCTTACCCAGCTGGAAGCAGATCTCCGTGTGGCGGCAGTCCGCATCGTTGCCGCACTGGCCGCGTATGTTGCAGCCTTGGCTCAGATCATGCGGATCTCCCACATAGCCCAGCGGGCACAGACATTTGCCCGCATCGCAAATAGCACGCGGCCCACACGCTGTGTTGGAGCATAAATTCTTGCACTGGCCACCTTGACAGCTGTAGCCATCGGGGCATTCTACGCCCTCGCTGCACTGACACTGGCTGGCATCTTGACAGAATTTGCTCTCAATGGGCTGGCAGCTGCTGTATGGATTGCCAGCATGGCCGGATAGACAGAGACACTCAAAGCTACCCGCTGTGTTAAGGCAGGCAGCGTTTAGGCCGCACGGCTTGTTGGCGCACTCGTCCACATCCTGGCAGCCCACATAGGGGTTGCCGTTAAATCCTTGTGGACATATGCAGGTAATCTGATTATCCGCACCACGGCACTCGGCATTCGGTCCGCAGCTGTTTGGTTGGCAGACGTTCTTTTTCTGGGCGCCGCATCCCTCGTAGGGATTGCCAAAGGTGCCTGGGTTGCAGGCGCAACGGCTCTGGCCTAGTCCGTACTCGCAATGCGCATTTTCGCCGCAGTTGGGTGAGCATTTGGCTTGTTCGATGGGTGGCATGCATAGCAGATCAGGATTGCCCACAAAGTTAGGCTCACAGACACATTTACCGTTGTTCTTGTCGCAGGTGGCGCCAATGCCACAGACAACGCCCTCGCAGCGTTCCTTGCAGCGTCCATTAATGCAGATCTGACGCTCATCGCAGGGTCTAGAGGCAGTGCACTGATCAGTGCTGCAGCTTCCTCCCGGAAAGGGATTGCCTAAGTAGCCCTGTGGGCACTTGCAGGTGGGTCCCTCGCTGGTGGGTATGCAGAGTGCGCCATCACCGCAGATGATGTCCTGGCACTGCGATACACAATCGCCATCGGCGTTCTTGACGAAACCTACACGACAGCGGCACCAGCCCGCATGCTGTTCTGTCTCGCAATAGGCGTTGGAGCCACATAGCAAACTGGCGCAGGGGCTGAGGCAGCTGCCATCCAGACAGGCTAGATTGCTGGCGCAGTCTTCGTTGTTGGAGCAGGTGCTCTTTGGTACGCCGTTCTCCAGTATGCAACCACTCTTGTAGGGATCACCGGTAAATCCCTTGGGGCAGACGCACTGGTAGCCGCCCTTTTTGTTCACACAGTACGCACCATAGGCGCAGGGCAAGTGAGCGCACTCATCTTCATCGGTGCAGCCGAGCAGCGGATCACCTTTGAATCCCGCTTCGCACATGCACTGCGGTGGATCGGAGGGCGTGCACTTGGCATTGATGCCACAGGCGAAACGCTCACAGGGACTCTTACACTTGTTGTTATCCTGTGGATCCAGAAAATAGGGCGGCGGGCAAACACATTCGCCTGGCTGTATACATTTCTCATTGCTGGCGCACTCCTTGTCAGCAGCACACTTCCGCTGTGCCGGCGCGCAGAGTCCATTGTACGCATCTCCTTGGTAGCCCTCGGGGCAGTGACAGCTGTAGCCGCCCTGTTGGTTGACACATTGAGCCCCATAAGCGCATAGCTGAGCACCACGTTCCTCGCACTCATTGACATCTATGCAGCTTCCATCCGGCTGGGTTTGGTAGCCCTTGGGGCAGGCGCAGTAGCTAACACCGCCCGCTATAGAAATGCACTCCGCACCGCTGGGGCATGGCTGTCCACTGGAGCAACCAGCTAACACGCAGCTGTTACCGAGCAGCTTATACGGTGCTTGGCATTGGCACTCGGGACTGCTGCAGATCTCGCACATAACGAAGGGATTACCGGTGTGTCCTTGTGGACAGCGACACTCGTAGCTGCCGGGAAGATTTTTACAGAGGGCATTCAGGCCACACGCAGGCTTTACGCGCTCGGCCCCACACTCATCAAGATCCTGGCACTGGCCACTCTCGGGATTACGCTCATATCCTTGGCGACAAATACAAACACTGCCGCCTGTAAATGTATCCTGAACACAGCTTTCGCCCAAGGCGCACGGACTGGTATCGGAGCAGCCTACAGTCTTGGCTGTGGCGCAGCCTTCGCCATAGGCATCTCCAGTAGATCCACCTGGGCATTGGCACAAATACCCGCCGGCTGTGTTGCTGCAAATTGCATTGGCAGCACAGGGATTGGCGCGGCACTCGTCGATATCACTGCATCCTCCTGGTAATGCTGCATTACCCGTATAGCCTGGCGCGCAGAGGCACTGTGCTTGTCCATTAGCTAGCATGCATTGGGCATGGGCGCCGCAGTCGCGTGTTTCGCAGGGATGTCGACAATCGTTGCCAATATTGGGTTCCGGGCACAGACAGCGTTTGGTCTCATCGCAGATGGCATTTCCGGGGCACTGCTCGTTGGTGGCGCAGCTAACGATGGGAACGCAGCGCACTGAAGGATCCGGGTCTGGAAGTGTGCCCTCGGGGCAGCGGCACGTGTAACCGCCTCCTGGCATATTGACACAATCAGCACCAGAGCCGCATTTACCACCCGCACGACACTCATCCACGTCTAGGCACTTGCTGTGTGGATCACCCGAGTAGCCGGGTGGACAAGCGCAACTATAGCCACCGGGTGTATTGGTGCAGCTGGCATTTTGGCCACAGCTGCCAAAGGGTCCATGCAACACATCGCACTCATCAATATCCACGCATCCGGCGGCCACATCACTCGGATTATAGGTCCAGCCATCCTCGCAGACGCAGTACGCTTCGTTCTGATCCGGCTTGCAGTAGGCATGAGCACCACAGTGCACATCCTCGCAGGGCTGCTTGCAGGCCATTCGCGGAGGGCTGCCCACGTAGCCGGCTTCGCAGTCGCAGCGATAAGAACCGGGCGTGTTCAGGCACTGGGCATGCGGGCCGCAGGCCTCTGCGTGAGTGCGACACTCATCAATGTCTACACAGCTGGATCCAATGGGTTCGAATCCGTCCAAGCAGAAGCACTGGTTCTCAATGCACTCGGCATTGTTGGTGCAATCAAAGTTGCTGCGACATAAAATGTTCACATCGACTTGTTCGCAGGCCACTTTTGGATCGGGCTTTCCGTCATAACCCTGCGGGCATTTGCAATTGTAGCCCGGCACGGCATTTTCACAGATCGCATGCTGTCCACATGGCTTATCCAGTGCGGCGCATTCATCGATATCCACGCAGCCGCGGAACGGATCACCGGTGTAGTCCGGTTTGCACGAGCAAACGAAGCTGCCGATGGTGTCCGTACACATCGCGTTTTCTCCGCAAGGATTATCCTGGCATTCGTTGATGTCTGCGCACGTTCACGGTCATGTTGTGCAGGGGGTGAGGGGTAGGTGTATTTGAGGGGAGCAGGCAGCGCGTGTTTATTGGCGTGTTTTGTAGCGTTTTTGTTTCGGGTCAAGAAGGAAGGTGGTTAAATATATTGTAATTAATTAAATTAGTAATCAAATCAAACAATACAATATTATGAAATATGTGAAATCATAGCGTGAAAGTCGGGGGAGCGGGTGTTGGAAAAAGTTTTTGGATTGGGAAATAGAAAATACTGAAGGAAGCTGTCTGAGTAGCAAAGGAAGCGGATATAAAAGCGAGGTTTGGAAGCTCTCAATACTTGTAAAAAAGCAGCTGAAAGCGTATGACGAGAGGAAGCACAGAGTAAAAAAGAGTAAGAGAGCAGCTGCTAAAGCTTACAAAAGCCATGCGTAATTGTTGTTGCGTTTTGCAAGCCTAAGCTAAGCTTCAACGCTCTTTATAGTCTAAAGTAGAGATGAGCGCGGGCCAAAATACGAAACAAACAATATTTGGATTCTTAACTTAAAAATTTGAATCAGAAAGAAATTGCAATATCAAGTTGCATTTATATTTCTTTTTGTTTTGAAAGAATTATAGAAAGCTTCTTTAATTGTATTCCAATTATGACCGTGAGTTACTTTATCGTATTTTGACGCGTATTCATCTCTGAGCCGATAGCCAAATTCTCAGTTAATGAGAATTGAACTTTCTGACTTTCTGGCAAAACATGCAAACAGGCAAATACTAACTCTCGCAGTGCAAATAGCCCTGTCCTTGAAATCCGCTTGGACAAAGACAGCGATATGAGCCCGGGAAGTTGATGCACTTGGCGTTGGTACCACATTTGGCCACACCATCCGGCTGGTTGCACTCATCGATGTCCAGGCAGGCCAAACCAGCGCCCGATGTCGGGGCTGGTGTTATAAGTGTATCGCCATCGGCATAGCCCAGTTGTAGTGTGGGTGTGGCCACCATTGGCGCCTCGGCGTGCGGATCATGCTCAAGCACAAAGCCCAGTGGACAACGACATTGAAAGCTACCGCCCAAGTTCACGCATTGAGCACCCAAACCGCATGGATTGTTAATGGCGCATTCATCGACATCTGCTGGCGTTTATTCGTGTTAGGCATTAATAATATTAATGAATCAAATTGCGGTGCATTTATGTGTTGCAAGTGGCAAGTATGTGTGTGTGTGTTGTGCATGTGTGCGTATTCGGCCGAAACAATTGTGCAAAAATTTTTAAAACATGATGGCAATATGTCAAATATGATAATACATTCTTCAGCATATTTTGCAATCTTCTTGTACTCACCCTCGCAGCCGTGCATCGGGTCACCGCTGAAGCCATCGGGGCAAAGGCAGCGAAAGCTGCCATCCGTATTCAGGCAATCCGCATTGCGTCCGCAAGGCGTGCGTGCGCATTCGTCCAGATCGACGCAGCCCTGTTCGGCGCGTCCATCGCCATCGTATCCCGTCGGGCAGTTGCAGCGATAACTGCCCTCGAGATTCGTACATATGGCACCTGGTCCGCACACGTTCGGATATGCGCATTCATCAACATCCTGACAACCGTCATAAGGATTGCCCACAAAGCCTTCGGGGCAGGCGCACGTGTGGTTGCCGGGCGTGTTTATGCACTGGGCATGGGCGCCACAGGCCAGCGGATTGCTGCACTCGTCAACGTCCGTGCACAGCACCTCTCCGTCTCCCGTATAGCCGTCCTTGCACTTGCAGAGGAAGTGCGCCGGCAGATTACAGCATTCGGCATTCTCCACGCAACGCGACGCTATCGCCGGATCTTGGCATTCGTCAATGTCTGCAACAACAATCATAATAGAAAAGGCATGATTAATCGAGTGTGCTTGGACACAAATGAGACGCAATTAAAATCTAAAAGCCCCACCAAACGAAAGACTTAAGCTACAAACTTGCTACCGTGGGGACGCTCTACGCATTTGCCGCTCGACTGCACATCGCATGTAGCTGCGATGTTGGCCCATCTGACCGACCCACCACTAAGTGGCTTTGGCATTTGAAATTTGCATGTTACGCATGACATTTCAGTGTCATCTACGTAAGTGTATATATTTATGTGGAGCTAAGCCAAACCAAGCAGCAATGTCAATGCGCACAGGATGCACCAGTTGCATACATTTACCAAACCAATTAGATCTTAGGCTGGCAGTGTGCACGGTGCAAGGTAATTGTTTATGTTTAATTTTTTATTTAGTTTAATTAAATAACAAACATTTACTATTAAACACATTCTGATTTTAATTATTTTGTTTGAAGCTTATAATGCAAATGGCACCAAGTGCATTTCTATTTCTGACCCTTTTTTTTTGGTATACGAAATTTATCGATATCTTTTAATGCTAGAATGACACTTGAAAGCTCTAATCTAATTTTTATCTACTTTTATGGCTTTCATTATAAGTTTTTAAATTGAATTACATACTATTTACTGTTTAATTCATTTAATTTTTTTTTTTTAATTTAGTTGTGAGTCGAGCAATACTATTTATTACATCTATCAAAGTATTGATACACTAAATTTGTCTCATAATCAAATAGATCATTGATCAACTTTTTCCTTTTTCCCTTTCAGATGGATAGTGAAGCTTAATTATCTTCTAGTTGGGAGCTTAATTGGGTATGTGATCTTTATCAATTATTAAAATCTTTGCTTTTGTTTTTTATTTTGTAATTGTTTATTTTGATTTGTTTCGAATTTAATTGCTTTATTTTGCTTGAGGATGGTGGTTTTTAATTGGACGTATGTATCCGTAGTCAGCTCATGCGGAAGCACTACATTGAGCTTTCCGCTCCAAAAGCCCACAGAACGTTGAGAATTCAATCGAATACCCCCGAAGCCAATGAAGCGGCAACTGGCAAAAGGGCCCCATACAGATACAGATGTATTTACCCAATGGACGTTCTCTTTGGGTAACTGTGGGCCATTAATCATTGGGCATATGGATAAGAGATGTTGTACATTTATAGCTAATATGACATAAGTACAAAAGTTGGCAAAAGCCAAAGACAAGGACGCGTACAGAGAGTGAGATGTGTGCGATGTGTGAGTGGAGTGCCTTGTAATTATGAGCAGTCGAGCGAGTTGCGCAGTTATAATTACTAGTTTTTAGCTTATAAATTAAGAGGATCATCACTCTAAAACTGGTATTCCCCCACCAACTATCTTTCACCTCTCTCTCTCTCTACATATCCAACTGATATGGCTGCATTCCATGATTTGCTGCTGCAACGCCAGCAATTGCTAACTCTGATTACTCAATGTCATCGTCTTCGTTCGCCTGTCTGCCAGTTGGCAGTTGGTAGCGTTGGCCAGAAGTTTAGCCAGAAGCAGGAAGCATTCTATGTTCTTCTAAGTTTCAATGTCAGTTTAATTACTTTATGCAGTGCGGTTACTGAAGGCTGAGACAGAAGGTTGTCCAGGCAGCCCAGTCCCAGTCCCAGTCCTAGGCCCAGGCTTAGGCCATTGACCAAAGGCCATTGGCCATCTGGTTGTGGCTCCTGCTGCCAGCTATCATATTTTTCAGTACGCTTGACGTCAGGTGCAAAATTCAATTTATTTGCGCCTCAGCAACTAATTATAATAGAGATTTTTGGGGCAAAGTTCTACTCCATTCGATGTGGGCGTGGGCCAGCCTTGGGCTAAATGTTGTAGCTCTCCGGTTGAAAACCAATCAAATATGCGTGACTAAATGTAATTAAGTTGAATGCATGTTGAAAACGATGCTGACATAATTCTCTCGTATTCTCAACCATACGTGGTTCAGATTTCCGGCTGGCTTCGGAGTTTAAGGCTTGATTAGAACCACTTTTTTTCGAGTGGCATTTGAAGAAGTCACAAATTGTTTCACTGAGAACTGACAGTTATCATACCCTTGCTTAGGGTATTTTAACGTTGACATGAAATAAGTAACGTTGTTTTGGACCTTATAAAATATAGTACTATTATAGCACTTGGTGCCATTATAGCATTGTGGCCACCGAAGCTTATTTGAAACTCTTACTAAGAATGTAAATATTTTAGGGTATGCGAACTAGGGGAGTCAAGCCTATATGTCAAGCCTCTCTGTAAATGAGACGAGTTTAAAATTCGATCACTTAACCACAAAGCTGACAGGTTCGGCGAGGGTATTAAATAATCGGCATCTCCTATGTTCCCATTATGGTTGAATTATATAAAAATCAAGTTTAGTCGGTTTGGCAAACATTCTGCACTTTGTTTAATTGCACTAATCAACACTAATTAGCAGTTGTCGCTGTTCGAGTATTGTAAAATGCTAAACAAAAATCTACATAGATGATACAGCGTGGTCTGGTCTGTTATATGTCGTCTGGTCTAGCTGGCGTCCATCTAATAAATCTATGTAATTGTTCAACTAATTAGCATTTGCAATTTGTTGTTGCTTTTTTATTTGAGTTATGACATTCGTGCCACAAATTTTTGCACTATTTTAACGTATCTCTCGCATATTCGAATATGTGTATTCGCTTATAGAAGAGCAGCAATTTACGAGCGGACATGACTTTCATGCTCGACTGCTGTACGATGATGGGCTGCTCTAAAAAAACAGACAGAAACACACAAAACTCAAAAGTCTATGTGGCTAATTTATGGTAAAGCATAACTAACTAACATTTGAACTTGAGCAAAAACTGAAGCGAATAAGAAACAATTTAAAAAGCTTGCGTGTTGCGAGTGCTCGACTAGCAGATACCCTCAGCAATGCTTTGAAGTTGCCTTGTCCTGCGAATAAACACATTCAAATGAAAAAATCTGCTCACACTTTTAGAATAATTAGTATCAAGGCTCAAACATTTTAAGTTGAGTAATAAATTGGATAAGCCTATAAGATACTATGCCTCATATACAGCCCAAAGTTGTTACTCCAAGAAGTTATAATATTTGCGAAAGAAAAAGGCGCAGATATCTTGATGGATCTAAAAAAAACATTTCTAGGTCGAAAATGCCCTCTATATAACGCGTTCAGGGTATTAAACATGTATAAATAGTGCATAACATGAGGAAAAAATAAAATTAGCTAATAAATTTGTGGCGCAATTATGCGTTAAGTATGTAAGGCAAAAAGATCAAGGTCGGGGCCGACAGTCGGCCCAGTCAAGTGATGTCAGCCGGCGTCGAAGTTGAAGTCATGGGTGGCTCAATTGGCAGCGCCGCCTACTGGCTGCGTAAATGTGGCAACATGCTGTGATGGAAGGGCGATGAGGAGCGAGGGGTGGCAGCTATAATGAGGCGTGTCAATGCCAACGCCTTTAGCCATTTTCATGGCTTATCAGCGGCAGCTACGACACGGCAATTAATTGCTGCCATTTTTTTGATATGCAAAAAGTGCAAAGTACCAAAAGAAAATATACATACATATATTTACTATATACGATATATAGGTCTATACTGCAGATTAAACACGTTCGCTCTATAAAAGCTAGCGACTCTTATCAGCTGACGTTGATCAGAAACTGTGCGTCGAACTGGCTGTAGCTCTTGTAACTGGGAGCTGGGAGCTGAGAGCTGGAGCTGGAGCTGGCGTTGAAGGCAGTGCCGTTTGCGGCTTTTGAGGACAGCATTAAGCGCCGACAATGCTACCGCCTCATGCGTTGCCAATGCCGCCAAAGCTGCGCTACGTGGGCCACAATCTATTTTATCCGTTTTAATGATCTGCCCCAGTTAGCGAAACGAAAGGGAGCAGACGCCTGGTGAACGTGGCAAACAAACTAAAATAACAACAAGAACAACATACAACAAACAGAGCAAGAGAACAACAACAGCTGCAACAACTTGCAAGATTATTTCGTGTTGTTGCTGTTGCTCTTGCTGTTGCCGTCTCTTGACTGCCGCAAAGATGGTTATAAATTTAGCACTCAACTCGAGGCACTCACTCCATTTTTCTGGTTGGCGCGTTGCAAGACAAATGCATTAGAAACAGCTATTGACTTGCTACAAACTAACAAACTAGGTGCCAATGTGTGTGTGCGTTTGTGTGTGTTGCAATTTTGTCTTTCCCGTCTTCAGACTTAAGGCTTCATTGCATAACTGGACTTTGGCGTTGCGTTAACGAAGCCATCGCCAAATGCATGCATCTGAGTTATGAACATGAAATAATGCGAATGTGCCACCAGGTCTGCAGCAGGTGGCAGCTCCACTTCATACCGTTAGACCCGGCAGCCAAACAGGTAGGCGCATAATCTCCTGCCACGCAAAATGTGTCTCCATCTATGTTACACTCAAAAGTGGGGGGAGAACTGGCTAGGCTAACTTCACGCTGGCCATGATTTCTTGCAAAGTTTATTGGGTGAACTTGAGAAAGCAATGAAAACTGGATATATACGAGTATATAGTCAAATGCAGACGGATGGCATTTTTATATGTTTCCCAGTGCCATAGAATATAGATAGTTGTGGACTGCCCAAGATATACAATATACAAAAAGAATAAATAGAAACAAAATAATTTATGCACTGTAATCTATTTTGGCTATAAACCTAGTTTAATCAGAATGAAAAAGTAATTACTACGACAAGGCCGAAATTTTCGTATAGTTATTTCAGATTTAAACCAAACAACGTAATTTTTGTGCAATAAATCCAATGACTGATTGTCCCTATTGGAGTTATATGTTAGTAAATAAAGTGGAAGCGCTCTTAAAGTAGATCAAAAATCCATTAAAAATTAAAATGCTTATCATACAAAAACTCAAATTTGCTTATGGAATACATATTCTATATGAAGCCAATCCGATTGAATTAAGCTTGGCTAAAATTGTTCAAAAACTGACAGACTAGAAATAGAAAGCAGGACGATATAATTTGTTGACTAAGCTTTGCATATTATAGCTTTGAAAAAGAGGCCTTCTTTGATGTGTGGACAAAAAATTATTCCCCCTACAAGGGTGACAAACGGAATTTCGCACAATATGATGATTAACTTTTTTAAAATGCTATTATCGGGCTTAGCTCAAAAATAGTTCCAATGCTGTGGGCACTTGAAATTTTTAACAGTGGGAATTATCAGTCAACTTGCGAATAATTAAAAGTAATTACGTACTAATGTAGCGTCGTTTTGAAGTCAATTCATCAAGATTTAATTAGATATACTCGTAGTGGCTTTGATTTGGTGCAGTTGGTGGGAAAGCCGAGAGTGCGTGCTAGAGGCATTCAAGTTGGGTTCAAGTACTTATTCCACGCACATGGGCAGACGAAACTTTCTCAGCATATTTAAAACAGGTTGATTCAAATGATTACAGACAATTTGAGATGTTCTGTGGAACTCAGACTGAGGCTTCGCGCTGGCGTAATGAAATGCATCATGAATACGTGTAATAGGCGAGAGAAGAAACGTTGGGAAGGGAATGGAATTAGATAATGCTCGTATGACTGAAATGCGATGCTGGCGTTACATGCCACTGGCCAGAATTTATGCATGCCTGCCGGTCGTTGCAAACTGTGACTCCACCCTACTGCCCCTCCCCCTACCAGTCGCCTGACAGTCGCTGCGAGAAGTCGTCACATGTAATCTAGAATCTCGGCAACGTCTTCATACTTAGTGGGGTAATGCCAGAGCGTTTGTGAAATTTGCGCTCGTTATCGCATTGTATCGTCCGAAACGGGAAGCGGGAAGAAGCATCAGCAGCAGCCGCAGCCGCAGCTAGACACATGCTCTTGAGTGTTGAAAGTTCTGGCGTGTCCATGTTTGGGGTCAGATTACATGACACTGATTCCACGTCTAACAGACGTGTGTGCTCGTAGGTACGATTATGTCTATGTCTGTTCCATGGCGCGAAAGCATTGCTACAAATGTTCGTGGTTTTCTTTCCTGCTGCCGCCACCACCACAGCCACATCCACCACCATCATTACAATCATCATCATCAACTCGAGCGGGAGCAGCAGCAGCCGCTATAGGAAGAGTTTCGCTGGTAAGTGGTACCTCGCTTAGAATCTTCTGCTTTTCAAGTTATTATTGTAGTTTTTAGATTTTTTCGTGCTCTTTTTCCTTTGTGGTACCATAATGTGTTTTCATTACGCAACATTAGGCCCAGTCCAATTATGGCTGCCAGTTTTTCACTGTCGAATAGGCAACGCAACCAAACAGGTGCGCCGAAGGGTTTTTGGGCCCACGCTGTGAGCAATTTAAAGAGAACAAGTAGATGAGTCAAGCTCATTAACCCGAGACATGTATTTGAAACTATATCAGTCTGGAGAAGACTAGGTGGGGACTACATTGGGAGCAGAAAAAGGAAGTCAGAAAGGGGAAAATTTATGAATGTGAATAAGAAGAATATGACACATATATATTCTATATAATAAACATTGAAAATGCTTGAAATCCATGAAGAGCAATTCAAAACGCAAACTGGAAATTCATTTTAAAACCAAAAAAGGGGATTTATTTATCCTATAGGAATAATAAAATATATTGAGATATAACACAAAAATTTAAAGCTACGTGAAAGCTGTAAGGCTAATCTAAAGTCTCTTTATGATTAAGCAATACTATTTTCACTCAAATCTAAAAAGAAAAATCTCCATCGCATTATTTATATAGAGTTGCAATTCTATTGGACCATTAGAAAGCCTTTAACTGAAACTCGGATGATATAATTCTGGTTCTAACGGCTTCGTTTGCCTGAGCCGCATCAGTTTCAATGTTCGCAACTCCGGCAATAACAGACTCATAACAAAGACGCTATAAGGTACGCGAGTGTAATCGCTACACGGTCATTATTATTGCCTCGCTGGATAAGTATACAGAGGAGATTCCATTGCTGGGCCATTGTGAGCTGAGGGAAAAGCTTTCATATTGTTATTGTTGTTGCTGTTTTGATGGCCGGCGCGTCTTTTGTTACATTTTCAAATAGAGGCTGGGCACTTGAGACGATTGAAACGGCTTGACTTGAAGAGATTTCCAGCGAAATAAACCGTTAGCATTAAGATCTATGGGTAACCTAGACTAAATCATGGTCTGGCAGGCAGAGTGGCAGCGGCAGCGGCAGCTAACCAGGCACCAATAATATAACAGACGTTGACGGAAGTACAAAACGGCAACAACAATCATTTGTACTGTTGTCGGGTCTTGGTGGTTGCTGGATCTGGTCGGTCATTAAGCTTATGCTAACAACATGGCTGGCACTTACCTTCACAATGGAAACCATCGCCGCGATAGCCCGGAAAGCAGGTACACGTGAAGCTGCCCAATGTGTTTGTGCAATGGGCAAACACATCGCATGGACGCTGCTTGCATTCGTTCTCATCTGTGAAGGAGAGTGGGTTTACGGTTATGTAAGATGAGACAAGCCCACATTGTTCGAGGAGCGCAGTTGAACTTACCCGGATCGACGCAATTGCAGCCGCCAAAGCCATCATTGCAATGGCAAACACCATTCAGGCAAACACCGTTTGTGCACTGTGTGCCATCCTTATCACAGTCATCTGGGGAAGAAAAGCAGTTTATCTTTAAGTAAACCCATTCCATAGGGCCGTGGTGTGGCGGGGTCTGTTGATACTTACTTGTGCATTTGAGCTCTTTGCTCAGCTCATCGGAACCAAGAAAACAGTCTTGATTACCGTCGCATATTCTCGATAGATCGTATAGTTGTAAATAGTCTGTAGACTCATTAACTTGGCAGCCAAAATAGCCATCTTCGAGATTCAGAAAGAATACTTCGCCTCGAAATCGACTATGCTTGTTTGGATTTGTCTTAAAGGGTTGTTTTTGTTGGTTTTGTGAATGTACCTGTTAAGCAAAAGAGTTTTTGGATTAATAAAGTGTTTATTACATTAAAACGAAAGAGATTAGACTCAAATTTGTGGAATCATTTTGATGGTACTGCTCAATTTTGTATTTTGATGTTGGTACTTAATAATATTCCGGTTTAAAGAGGTTGTCTTTATCCTAGTTCACAATTTATACATATATTTTTAAATAGGAACCTGTGATCCTTTAAAGCTTCTGGTCTGTGCTTGAAAGTATTTGCTGCATTAAATCTGGATACTAATATATATACTGCGCAGCCACGGATCAGTAAACTGATAGTGCATATTCTGAGTTTCTGTTCATTTCGAAGCTTAACCTCATATGTAAACTGATATAAGTAGTATATTCTGGATTTCTAAAATAAAGTTGTCAAATTGCGAACAGTTCTCGCCCCAAAGCTTAACCTCATTTTAAAAAAGGCAGCAGCAACCTTCGGAGTGTTTACTAAGTTTCGTTCGTATTTTGTGCTTTTAGTGGGACTCGAAACTAATTTAAATTCAAATTAGATACAGTAAAGTTAGCAGGCGTATCAACGTCAGAGCTTCTTCAACGAGATTTCCTAACCGACAGCGGCAGCTTGATGCGGTCCATATGGGCAGCATGTTCATACAGGTTTGCATTCAAAGCTACGTAGATATATCTTCTTGTGTTGTGTGTTGTTTTGCCAACGCTTAATTGTTACACTTGGCTGATTTTACTTTTATAAACACACAAAAACAAAAGTTGTTTGCCATATTTTCTCAGTATGCTTGTATACTTTTGTATAAAGATGTGTGTGTGGTGCCTGAGTGACTGACTGACTGACGGTACGGTGTGTTACTGTTACCAGCGCTCAACATTAGATAGCTATGAAAACGAGTTTGTCACTTAAGACCTTTTTGCGCTACTGCAAAACGAATTAAAACAAGTTTCATTTGGGTAACACATTGTGGCTCTTATATTTCGCATATTTTTTGTCCGATTTGTACTCGCAGCGCGATCAATTTTTACTTCCTACGTTTCGGCGTTCCATTCCAATGCAATCATTTTATGACAGAGTCGGGTTTGAGTTCCTGCTACGTTTTTGATGGCATCTGATTATAGGTTCCACCTTTGATATCAATCATTTCATATAATTTGACTAACTATACAAATTCTCATTAATTTCTCATTTGTGCTTGAAAGCAGGTGAAAGGTCAATACCCATCTGCAGAAACAAATGACTAAAGCCACAAACTTGAACTTGGCTTATGATTAACATAACTTAAATCGCCGCTCAATAATCGTTTAACATATAAATGAATTTTGATAAAATGATCTGGTTGCCTTTATTCACAAAAAATACTTTCTAGCAATTATCATTTGTATAGATTTCTTAATTAATCACATTTTATATGCATTTCGTCAAAATAGGTATACGCCGAACTTGAGCAAACTGTTATTAAAGTTGGTTTAGATAAACTTCTGAATTGGATATCTCTCGAAAATGTGCTATGTATTTACTATTGCCATAAAAGCTTCTATTTAGTTACTACTTGAATGAAACTCTTCGAGTTACCAACACACCTTTTCTATTTATTTGTCGGGGTGTTAATATGATGTACGCATCTGGCCAGTAAAAAGTTTTAGGGCACAACTGGAAAGCAATCTCAGTCTAACAGATGCTCAGGAAATTGCAGATCAAACCAATTACTGCGAGGCTGGTCTGTGTTCCTTCCATTTTGAAACCAAGACACGTGAGCCGCTTTAGCACCTTTCTAGTTGGCTAATGAGCAGCAATCCCGGCAAGTAAAGAGTGCAATAAAAACTTAAGGTGTGAGCATGAAGCACTCGCTGCTGCTGTCAAGTTCAAGTTAAGTCTGAGAATTGTTTTAGGTAGATTTTTATCAAAAAACATTGTACCGCACAGTTAAGTGTGGAAGTTCTAGTCGTCGAATGTGCGCTGTGTGTTGAAGTTTTTCAATTGGTTTGGCTTTGTGCTCGCTTCACGCCATGCAACGCTAGCGGCCTTGCTAAACAATAGATGCTAGCTATCAGCAGCCGGCAGCTACTCGCCAGCAGACGACCGCCGCCCGCTAGCCGCTGCCTACCGCCTGCGACTTTTATCAATTGACAGGCCGCACAATGAGCAGCGCATGCCCTCAAGTGCAGCAACAGCAGCCGCAGCAGCAGTAGTCGCATCATCACATGCAACAATTAAAGGTGTGAGTGTGTTGCACTGAAGATGATGCAGCCGCAGCGAAGCTCCCATGACATTGAGCGGCGCGCCGACGCACACAATGCAATTTTTGTTGGCAAGTTGTTAGCCAAGTTAACTGAGACAATGACAGCAACCGTCAACGCTCAAGTGCATCCGTTATAATAGCTAACTGTCGATGGGCATTGCTGTGTGCACTTGCATTTTGTGTATCACTAAGTCAACCAGCAAGTTTGTTGCCTAAGTCTTTTGTTTTGTCTTTGGCCGTCAGGCTAATCAAATAAATCAAAGCTCTGCGCGTTCGCACACATAAATCATCAAATCACAACGCACAAAATGAAAGCAAGGCACGTCAAAAAAAAAAATCACACAAGTTCCGTCCATTGAGCGATTGTCGCGAAAAGCCAACAAATGCGTGCGCTGGTGAATGTCAATGAACTTGTGGCTTAGCTTAAGGCTTAGAGCATTCTTTTGGCCAATTTACAAAGCACCGGTTCAGGTTGCTACAGACCGCCGTCTCTCTCACTCTCTTTCTCCTTCTCTTCTTTTTTCTCTCTTTTTAGACCACTGCATAAATCGATGACTATCAAAGCGCTTTTACAGCTAATGCGGCTATTTTTATTCATTACGTTTTTAGCTTTCTTCGAACGTTTTGTGGCCCGGGTCTTCTTCTTTGCCCATTTCTCTGTTCCATTCAGTCCCCGATCGTTGATCCGGTGATTTTTTTTTCGTGTTTTTTGGAAAGGGTATACTACGCTTGTGATTAAAATTGTGAGTAGCTTATGATATACTCGAATATCGTTCTAAACAGCTTAAAAAGCTAGTAAAGGCATAAGCTAGATAAATTGTTTTATATTTTCTATATTTTTTTAAAGGTATTTTAATTTTGTAAACAGTTAAACTCCCAATAGAGCATCTCGTAGTTAAACTTTTTCTTCAATTTTTTTTATTCTCCACTTGTTCTTCATTTCGTCTGCCCTATCATTACACCATCTACTCGCACGAGCATGTTTTCTCGTTTTCTCTCTGTTTAAACAGCTATTAAATCAACTACCAAATGCTATTTGCAGGTTTATTGTCCGGGCTGCCACTTTATTTGCTTAGCATCAAGTCTCAAATCTTCAAAAGTTCTTTCTTTTTTTTAATTTCACAGCTTGTTGTAAAATTTAATAAATCTGTTTTTGCCTAAGCCTTAGAATCGGAAAAAACTGTTTGGTAGTAATTTTTGTTTATGGCTCATTTGCATGGCCGGGCAAGTACCGTTAGGCCATGAAACCTTCGACGCGCAGGGTTGCATCATTATGAGCATTTGGTTCTCTTCCACTCGGCGAGAGCTGAGATCATTTTTCGTTAGTGTGTATTCATATCTATATATTATTTAGTGCCTGTATAAAACTTTTCTCATAATGAGCTGTCTGCTCGTAAATTTGTCAAGATCCGTGGCCATTGTATGATCTGTGTGCGAAAGGTGTTTAAAGTTCTCGACAAACTCATAAATTAACTATTGTTCATGTGCTATCTGACAATGCTTCAGCTCTGATCCAAGCCCATTAATATTTACGGCTTGACCAGAACTGGTCTCCCCTTTGAACCCGCAGCAGCCACACCTTTGTAAGCCTGAAGAATAAATATGCTTTGGTTTCAGAGATGAAGCTAATTCGCGAATAATGCGATATTTGTATGTACAAATTAAAAGTTATTTTTAGTAATATAAATTTTAGACAGATGTTAACAAAGAGGAAAATAAATCTGCTAATTTCTAGACAACACGAACACTGTATTGTTTTTGTTGGGGTAATACTTACTGTACTCAAGAGTAGTAGCACTATCCACGTGACTAGTGGCAAAAATATTTTCATTTTTGCTGAAATGATATAAATAAGAATAAAAGACATTAAAAATCATTAAAAACACAATTACAAGCAAGTTAAGTAAACATAATGTGCTGGAAAGGTATACTTAAATATTGTAATGCGATTTCCTGCTTAAGAGCTCAAAACAAAACAAGAAACACAAACACAAATAATTAACTTAAAATTTCAAACACGCAGCTGAAGAGCCCTGCGAAAATTGGCCTGGTCATCAGGGACAGGTGCCAAAAACCAAAAAAGCGAAACAATCGTCAAAAGACAAATAAAAATACACTTACAAAAATGTGCGGCAAGTGCGAAGACGGGTAAATGACACTTGAAATTTATGCGCAAACATGAGCAACGTCTGCGTTTATCTTTTAGCCTTTTCTCTGAAAAATTTATACAACGGCACTGCAAACACAGACCAGCATAAAAATTACAGAAACCAGGGAGAAAAACACCTCTGGCAAAAAAAAATAGATATATATGTATGTATATACATATATGTGAACTGGCCAAAGGCCATTGTTGTTGTTGCTGTTTGTTTTCTCACGCATTCATTTTCCACTTTCAGTTTTCAGTTGCTTCGCTTGATTTTCATAAGGTTTTGGCCGGCATCGGACGGGCAGCCACAAAATGGGCAAGGCAAGGCCTGTTAATTGGTAGAATGGTCGTAACGCAATACAAAATTGTCACGACGGTTGGGGGAAAATGTAATAATTTTGTGTGAAAATTGATAGCATCTTTATATGGCACTCAGTCGTCGGATAGTCAGGTAGGTGGTCACATAATTATGACATAATCAACAGCTGGTACCGGAAGTTAAACCGAGACTGGCACGCAGACATTACGTTAGATAGAATTTACACGCGGCAATCATAAAAACAGAAACTATCCATTATTATGCACATAAAGCTGGACCTGGGCACGGTTTGAGGTCTGAGGTTTGGGGGCATGCAGCCAGTTGCCCTTTCATCTGGGCGTTAACAAACAACTTTCTTAACTTGGCGTGAACGTTAACGTGTGCATATGTTAAAATATTTGCCATTATCTGCGTGTATTCTGCAAAAACATATATAAATTGCGCCCCAGGCACACAATAAAAACTTCAACGGAGTCCAAGCAACGTGCTGCAACCAGCGGCTTCTCCTTTGCCTTGGTTAAGGTTTGGTCCTGGCCCTAGCCGTGGCCCAGCCTGGTCGTACGATTTATCTATTTCGGTTTATCAGCTAATAAACGCTTAAATAAAATACACACTCTAAGCTAAATTACATGCGCTTTGCACGATTGCCAGCCAAAGGAAATAAACCTTGAACAAGTTTGATTTTGCTGACGAGTCAGTTGAACTACGGGATGATACTCTGTACGCAGTATTGTATTTATTAGGAATTATTTAGAATATTAAGTCTGGCCTGTATCATATTATTTACATTTGCTACTACATAACTTCAAAGATTTCTGGAAGAATGGGGAAAAGTTAAAAATTTGTTAGCGGACAATAAACTTGGATTGATTGACTCAGCAAATCAATAACATTTCTTAAAAGAGCATTAATGTCGTGTATATGCACAACATTAATCAACTCTGTATACCTTGTATACTTTTAGACCGTTTACAGGGTATAACTACTGCAGTGCAGTGCAAACTCATCTCAAGCCAATAGATTCGCTCTCTTCTAACGACATTTGAAACGATCCAGGCCTAGATTCTGGCCGGGCTTTGGCTCTGGTCCCTGCTCACGTTGAAGGCCATCGCCTTTTTGGTTAATCTTGTTTGGTCGTTTATGCCGTGGCCTTTGGGCGCTTTTGTGTGTTGTCCATGTCCATGTCCATGTCCATGATCACTTAATTAAAGCAGGAACCGTGCGGAGTACTTTAGAATTTCTCTATCTCTTGCTTGCATTTTATGTGCACTCACATTGTAGTTGCGAATATAGTTTTAGTGATGCTTGATAAATTTATGTTGCCCGCGAAATGAGCGTAATTTGGTTGGTTGCTTGGGTTGAGCACCAATTGGTATGAGGGTCGGGCTGTTGGCTCAGCTGGGGATTAGTAGCTCCCTTCCGGCTGACAAGCTGATAAATGTGCGTGATAAATGTGAATGTTCTTCTGGTTGTTGTTGTTGTTGTTATTGCTGCTGTTGCTGTTCGTTAAGGCAGTTTGAAGATCTAACAATGCTGGGCAAATGCCAAGTGCTGTAAACCCAGGCCCTACAAATAGCACGGAATAACTCAATTGGATAACATTTCAAGTGCCTTCTAGTTGTAAGCTTGATGTACATATTTACTTTAATCAATTTATAAAACTAGTTTTCTAATTTATCTAAAGGTCATACAAAACACTCAAAATGTCTTTAAATGACGCTTTGCATAGCTTAAACCCGAACCAGAAGTTTGCATTTCGCCTATAATTCTCAGAAGCTTCTATGTACTAAAACTATGCCCAATTCGCATTCGCAAATAAAATAAGTTTAAAAACATCTTTAATTTAAAAGCAGATGATCGCCTCGAATGTTGATACAACATTTTAATTATCTTATGTCCTCTATCAACAGGTGATTGGATGGATATTATTTCGTAGTCACAAGCTACCTCTTTTAAAAACACGTTTTCTTTCTAAAAAAAAATATATATTATTGCTCTTAATTTCAATTATCATTAATTTCCAGTTTCGATTGAACTAACGGCAATTTCATTGTTTATTTAAAATATATTTTTATAGCAGGCAAATTAAAATATATGTACAATGTCAAAATGTTGAACGAAGGCCGGCGGCTACTTGAGCAAAAGCCGAGTTAAAAAATCAATAGCCGTTGCTTGGAACCCGCGCACTCCTCAAGTAGCCCCCGTCTCTTCTTCGCCGCTGTCGGCGTCATCGAGAGCGTCGCCAGCGATGATCTCATCTTGTATTAACCTGTCTAGCCACTAAATCAAAGTCAAAGAAGCGAGTGACACATTTTTACTCGTTCGTCCGAAAAAACAACACACAAACGCCCCGATATATACCCACACACACAAACGCAGACACACAGCTGAGCTGATCGCATCTTTATTAAAAATAAATGCTGATAGCTTGAAAAATGTGTTTCTGAAGGCAAGCATTTCATGTGCATTTGAGTAGGTGTGCGTGTGTGTGTTTGTATGATTGTGTGTGTGTCGCTAAGGTTTTTGCTGAGTCTAAGCCATATACACACCCAAAAATCAATTGCTCAACCGGATGCTGACGCGAGTTGCTCTCTTTTAGTTTGAACTCATTTAACATTGTTGTTGTTGTTGTTGCTGTTAAACATTTCGTATTTGCATGTCACGACTCGTAATTTATTTATTAGCATTGACTGATTTCCAAATTGCAATAGCCCTAATTTTTTGAGTTGTAGTCATAAATCTTGGCCAGATGCCATCGACCAGTGTGCTTAGGCTCAGCAGACGTCGGCCACGCCCACCTGCTGGTGGGCTGATCAATTAATTATGCTTTTTCAATGTCGAAACTGTCGGGCAGAGGATCTGCAGCATTCGCCACATAAATCTTGTGTGGCAGGCCTGCGCCTTCAGGCTGCAAACTTATCCTGCGGCTGGGCTGGTGCAGTTTGTCTAATTGCAGGTTGACTGCCGCCAACTGAAGGTCACTGACAGCGCCGTAGACGGCACTTTGCGCCTGCCTGACGATGCGGCTGCCGTTGCCGCCGGCTTGTCTCCACCAGCTGCGGGCACATTGCTTCAGCGGAATTATCGTCTCTCCTGCCCGCATGGACCATGAACAACTGCAACAAGTTGCAAGTGGCAACCAGTTCACATGAAAATGCATAATCAATCACACAAAACGACAACAAAACCAAGAAAGAGATGGAGAGAGAGATTGAAGGAGATAGAGAGTGTGTGTGAGAGAGAGACAGAGAAAGATAATTTTTCCAATGTACAACGAATACTGCATGCACTTATCTATAGATAGTGCTAGTATTACAATTTCTGGAAGCCTAATAATTAAAGAACCCTTCTCCTTTCTTTATGTTAAAGTCTTTATTTACCTAATTGAATGTGGAAAACCCAATTTTCTTTTAGTTTATATGCCAATTTCTTTCTTGGGAGTTGCGATTCTTTAAAACAGGTCCCTCAATGTAAAAGAATTTTATCTTTAAATACAACAGAGAGCTTACTTCTCACTGATCCTCCTTATCGACTGCTCTAGTTTATTTCATATTTTTTATGTTTATCATCGAATTTTTTAGGTTTACAGAAAATACGTTGTCTTATTCTAGTGATAATCTACCTCTATTTATTGTTATGATCAGAAAGTGGCGATATAATGAATTCCAGCCAGATCGGACAGCGATAGTTGGGTAGCGACTTTTTCAATTTGACCACACCATAAATTACACAGCACTATCTACAAATTTCAGCTCAGAAATCTTTTTGACTCTCTCCATATTTACTTTTTCGCCGACTTGATGACTTAGCTATTATGCCCGAAAATGTATACAAAAGGGTCGAGGTAAAGAATTGCCCATGCACATTCCAACGCCCATTGGCGTATCATTTGCGCATCTTCATCGCGGAGACGACATTTCGCACGGCTTAAATGTCAGGGTGCGGGTACGTGTAGACCACTGACCGGCGACTGGTTAAGAGTAGCTACTTTATGGCAATACATTGCAGTCGACAGTCGAGAGTGTTGTTAACAATTCGTGTAAAGTTGCCGCTCATTAAAAACTCATAAATCAGTGCAACAGCAATAACAACAGCAGCAATAATTGCCGTTGCGAGGGCAGTGTCAAAATAAGGAACCCAGCTAAAGCCAGCGGAAATGGCCACCTGGCCGGCAACTGTTGCCGTTGTCCAATTCCCGGTGTCGGCATCGGCATCGGCATCGTCAGTGGTACCGGTGTCGGTAGCGGGCCTGATGCCCGCTATGCGCAATGCAGTTTCCGCATTGGCAATATTGACATCTGCTTGGGCTTTTGATTAATGATAAATGCTCTGAGCATCCGCCGCTATGACATTTAGCTGAGAACTCTC